TAACCACTTGCCTTTGGAAGAAAGACATGGCAATCTGTTTCTATAAAGATTATAGCTTTGGTGGACTGGGAGACAAAATGGCATCCTACTCACATATTCCACCCAATCCATCTACAACAGAGACCCATAAAAACTGAGTGAAACAGATACAAATAATGATCCCGGAATTCTAGCCATCAAATAAGAAGATAAAATATTAGATCGAGTATACGGCATACTTCCTGTGGACAGTATTTTCCATCTTACCATTACCTTCCCCCAAAGCCTCTCCATCTATTCAAGTGCAGACAGGTTTGATGTTAAATATCAGCCAGGCCTCACTCTACAGGTTGAGCTACTTTGTTAAGCTTTGTTTTCTTTGAGTAATTGGGGGTAGTAACAGCATTTAACTTAAAAAGTTGTTTTGAAACGAAGTTTGGAAAATGCATGCAGTTGTGCAGTGCCTGGCACATAGTGAAATGCACAAGAAATGTTAGCTATTTCATTTACAATAATTTTCAAATTAATCATTGTCATTTCCTGTATATCTACATGTGAACTACTCAGGGCATCTTTTTCTTGTGTTTGTGGTTGATTGCGTTTCCCTTTCTGTTTAGTGAGGAAAAAGAAACTTACTTGGCTGGCTGTCAGCTGAACAGTTGCTTTGTTGAGTTTCAGTTTCCGATCTTTCCTTGAGTCGGGCAAGTTTCAGATTTCAACAGAGCCTTCTGTCTTCAAACTGGCTGCTCAGTAAATCAGACAGAGAAACAAATCCTCCCTTCAAGCCTTATCTAACTCCTGTAGACAGGTAAAGGACTATCATCTATGCTGAGATTCTTTTTCTGTTCCTAATTTTGGTACATAGTTTTGTTTTGTTTTTTTCCCTCTTCTTTTTTTCCTTTTATCAGCATTTAGCAGTGTCTTTATCAACTTTATTAGTCTTTTTAAAACGAACTTTTGATTTTCTTAATCTTTCCTATTGTATCCTTATTTTTAGTCCACTCCAACTTCTTGAAATGTAGGGTATTCATTTTTGCTTTTCCTTTTTGGAAATAAAGTTTTTTTTTTTTTTCTTTCTAACAATTATGTTTAAGGTAGGAGCTCTGGTGGCATAGTGCCTAAGGCATTTGAGTGCTAATCAGAAGGTTAGCAGTTCAAACCCACCAGTCACTCCTCGGAAGGAAGATTGGGCAATCTACCTCCATAGAGAGAGATACCCCTTGGAAACTCAAGGAAGGTTTGTTATGAGTTGGATCTGATTCGACGGCAGTGAGGTTTTTTTTTTTTTTTTTTTTTTTTTTTTGATGTTTAAAGTAATCAGATTTTTATATAGTGTACAAAAGTTTTGACATGAGTATTTTATTATCATTAACAGTTTCTAATTTTCATTAAGATTTCTTATTTCATTAATTATTGAATGTATGCATATTTCTTTATTTTCTAATATACTGGGTATCTATCAGTTATATACTTTTTTTTTTTTTTTTCTGATTTCTGGCGTACTGACATTATGATCAGAGGACATACTCCTGCTCAAAATTATAATGCTCTGATATGGAGCCCTGATGGCACAGTGGTTAAGTGCTAGCAGCTAACAATAAGGTCAAAGATTCAAACTTGCTAGCTGCTCCACATAAGAAAGATGTAGCAGTCTGCTTCCTTAAAGATTAAAAACAAAAACTAAAAAAGCTCTTGCCCTCCAGTCGATTCCAGCTCTTAGAGATCCTATAGAACAGAGTAGAACTGTCCGATAGGGTTTCCAAGGCAGTAATCATCATGAAAACAGACTGCCGTTATCTTTTTCCCATGAAGCAGTTGGTGAGTTCAAATCACCAACCTTCTGGTTAGCAGCCAAGTGCTTAACCACTGTACCAGCAAGCCTCCTTTGCCATAAAGAATACAGCCATGGAAGCTCCATGGACAATTCTACTCTGTATTTTAGTGTTTCTATGAGTCAGAATGAAGTTGAAGGCAATGGAAATAGGATATGTTTTGAGGCCTGCTGCTCTTTGGTGCTTATAGCACTACTTTATATTAGCCGTACTTTCTTTCTCTCCATCTTGGATTCCAGTTTCAGACATGTTAGCTAATTTTATGATAACTCTGGTCTCTTTTGCCCTTTCCTATTCTTCATCCTCTTCTGTGTCTTAGTGCTTCCACTGATAATTTTCTTCTGAGTAATTCTTCCAGTGTGTCCAGCCAGTTTTCACATATATTCTTTAAAGCGGATATACATTTTTTTTTAAGGTCCAGAATAATTTTTTGTCATTTTTATTGTTTCCATTTTACAGTCAAGCATTTCAATTTCATATCTTACCTTTTAATTATCTGACCATACTAAGCATAGACATTTTAGAATCTCTGTGTGATAATTCCCTTATCAGGATGGGATTGTTTCTATTGTCTCTCCTATCACTTTGTTGTCTATCATGTCATTTTGTTTCCTCTTATATCTGGTTATTTATGGTTGAGTGTCAGGTATTGACTCTTAGAAAAAAAGTGTAGAGATAACAAGAAGATTTTACACAGAGAAGATTTATTTTGTTTTCTTTACATAGAGAAGATTTATTTTGCTCTGTTAGATAACTAAGGACATTAACAATCCTGGTTCACCTTAATTCAATCACTGATATAGATTATAACAAAATAGGATTACATCTATCTATATCCAATCTAACTTTTCTTCCTCCTTGTAGCCCTTCAGAATCCCAACCCATAGCCCTGGGTGGAGGAGGGGAGAGAAGGTTGCTAGGGCACCCTGTTGCTGCATGCCAAACTAGACGTTTTGTCCCTAGGTGGTGCAAACAGTTTGCACTTATCTTCTACTCACCTGGAATTTGATAGTTCAAACCCACCTAGTGGTGTTGCAGAAAAAAGTCCTGGTATTCTGCTTCTGTGAAGATTACAGCCAAGAAAAAGCTTTGGAACACTTCAACTCTGATATAAATGGGGTTGCCATGTGTCTGAATTGACTATTTGGCAATGGTGTTTTTGTTATTATTATTATTATTTTTATTTAGCTCTATGAATCTAGCAAAATCTTTGTTTAACATGCCAGTGTCCCACTACCTCTTCTGAAGTTGACAGGTTACAGGTGCCACTTGGAAAAATGTGCTCATCTCTCTGGATTTACTTCTTCTCCAAATCTTGGTTAATAACTTCTGTACAGCTTTATTAGCTCCCCAATGCTTTTGAACATATGTCTTTTTACAGTTTAAAGCTGTTTTTGTATCTTCTTTTATTGGGAGAATTTGTCTGATTGCTAATACTAATCTACCAGTGTAGGATGTCTATATTTGTTAACTCCTTTCCTAATTTAAATCTTTTTATATGTGTCATTTTTTGTATCAATTCCTCAGTTCAGTTCTGTTTTCTAATTTATAAGTTTGCCAATTAAGGCCAGTCACTTGTTTTTGCAAAGAAAGGTTTATTGGAATACACCTACAGGTTTACATATCATTCATGGCTTTTTGAAGAGATGGTTGGTTTTTTTTTTTTTTTTGCAGATTACAAACTCTAAACTACTTACTCTCTGACCCATTAACAAAAAGTTTTTTAACCCTTGTTCTAATTATTTTTCTTTATTCTCTATTTAGTCAGTAGTTCGTTTTTCCTACCACTGACTTTAAGAAAAGGTGGTAGTTTTCATTTCTAAAATATCTTATTTTATTCTATCCACTTTTTATTATTGTTCCATTTCTATGTTTTTGCTATATAACACAAATACTGTGTTTTAATTAGGCTGGGGCGGAAAAAGAAATGACTGGATCTAGATGTAGAAATCTGTGTTTTAAATCATTATACTAGAGTTACTGAGCATCATTAGCTATTAAATATGTTGTTGTTGTTGTTATGTGCGGTCCAGTTGGACCCGACTCATAGCGACCCCTCCTTGGGTTTCTGAGGCGGTATCTCTAAGGAAGTATATTGCCCAGTATTCCTTCCGACGAGGAGTCGTGGGAGTGGTCGCTGGTGGTTTTAAACTGCCAGGCTTCTGGTTAGCAGTTAAAATGCCTCAGGTACTACCCCACCAGAGCTCCCTCATTAGCTATTAGGGAGATACAAATCAAAACAACAATGAGATACCACTTCACTTTCACTAAGATGACTTAGACAGGAAAAAAAATGAAAAACAACAAATATTGATGAGGGCAGTGGTTCCTCAAAAAATCAAACATAGAACTGCCGTATGACTCATCAATCCCACTGCTCGGTATATACCCAAGAGACTTGGAGGCAGTGACACGGACATATCAATGTTCAATGCATCACTATCTATATCTCTGGTGACCTAGTGCCTAAGGCATTTCACTGCTAAGTAGAAGCCTGGCAGTTCAAACCCACCAGCCACTCCTACGAAGGAAGATTGGCCAATCTACTTCCGTTGTGATATTGCCTCGGAAATCCAAGGAGGCCTCGCTATGAGCTGGAACCTACTCAACCAAGCTGCATTTTTATTTTATTTTATTTTATTAATTTTAATCCATAATATCAAAAAGTGGATACCACCTGAATGTCCATAAATAGATGAATGGATAAGCAAAATGTGTGCAAGCATTTTACATACATACAATGGAATATTCATTCTTAAAGATAGATGAAGTACTTCTACATTCTACAACATGGAAACACCTTGAAAACATTATGCTGATTGAAGTAAATCAATCACAAAATGATAACTACTGTGTGATCCCACTTATATGAAATATCTAGAATAGGTAAATGTATAGGATCAATGTTTACTAGTGGTTAATGGAACAAGAGGGAGGTGGAATGGGATATCATTTAAGAAACAGTGGGTTTCTGTTTATGGTGATGGGAAATTTAGCAATTCAATTTAATTGAATTTGTGTTACTAAATTGTACATGTTAAAAACATTGAATTGACAAATGCTATATTTTATTTACTATTTTCAATAATAATAATAATAATAATAATAATAATAACACTATACTGGTCGTTTAACATATAATTGTCTTTCCATTTAACCTATAATTGTTTTTCCCTTAGATACAGAACCATGGCAGTAGTAACCAATTTGACATGGAACCAGGAACGGAGTCTGCAAAAGCTGTTTGGATGTGTTTCTTTCAGTCTTCTCTATAAGGCTTCTGTTCATGATAGTAGCATTTACACTATGCTTCAGAGATGCACTCATCAGGGATCCACTATAACACTGATTTACACGGACGAAAATGTTTTTGGAGCCTTTATACTTGGGCATTATCCTCAAATGGGTGAAGAATTTGAAAACCCAAATTCTTCCTTCTTTTTTTTGCTTAAAAGTGGGAACAAAGAAAGAAGTGAAATATCAACTTTTGTTTTTAATAGAGCACCTGAAATTATTAAGAAAAAACTATCTTTTTGTTTCCATAATTCTGAGTTTTTCTTTTTAATGCCAGAATCAAAAAGAGTTTTTATTCATCCTCAATTAGCAGATAAGAAATTTAAATGCCATGGATATTCAACCTATCTTGACTGTGAAGTTTTCCGAGTTGAAGGTACGTTAAAGTAGATAGTCCTATATTCTGATTCCAGTCTTTTTATTTTTCTAGGTTTTAACTGATTCATAAGAACAAGAAAAAAATGAGAAGAACAATCACATCTTACTGGTTGCTACTCTTTCCTAAACTCCAAAATAAAAATTAAGCGCAGTGATTATAACGTTATTATCTAGAAAGTACAGCCACTTTTGAATAAAACTGAGTGGAAAGAGAGGAAGGAGAGAGAAAGAGCAGGAAAGAGAGGGAGAGAGAGTGATCACCATCAAAGCAGGTGTCTTTTGATGCACGTCCCTTTCTTGGGAGCTCTGGCAGTGTAGTGCCTAAGGCACTTGACGGCTAACCGGAAGACTGGTAGTTCAAACCCACCAGCCACTCCTCAGAAGGAAGATTGGGCAATCTACTTCCCTCGTGATACCACCTCAGAAAACCAAGGAGGGATTGCTATGTAAGGCGGGACTGACTCCATGGCAGTGAGTTTGTTTTTTTTGGTTTTGGTCCTTTTCTTGGTCATCTCCAGGCAGAGTGATGTGAGTGTTTGCAAAGTGACTTAATGTACAGAGGAGCTCTTTCTCTCCTCTTCTCATAATGCTGCCCATACTAGCTGAACAATTCAGCCCTGGGACTCAATGTTCCTTTTAGGAGGTAGACTTTGTCACATTTATCAGTAACAAGTTTAAAAATTTATTATGCTATGCTTTTTTTTCCCACAGGAATTAAGGATGATCTAAGTTACATAAGGAGAATAACAGGGGTTACACAGTAAGTTATGTCGTTGGGCCATCTATTACTTATTTTAATTTAGAATGATTGTGTAAAGGGTACTGACAAGGAAATAGTAAGAAAGATATATATCATATAACTTGTTGTTGTTGTTGTTATGTGCCGTCGAGTCGGCCCCGACTCATAGCGACCCCTCCTTGGGTTTCCGAGGCAGTATCACTACGGAAGTAGGATTGCCCAACCTTCCTTCCGAGGAGTGGCTGGTGGGTTTGAACTGCTAGCCTTCTGGTTAGCAGTCAAGTGCTTTTAGCCACTATGCTACCAGAGCTCTTAGAATGATAAAATAATGAGTTATAATTTTACTGATATATTATTTTCAATGCAGTTTAGAATAACAACAAAAACTACCACAAAATGAAACAAAAACCACGAACAACTGTGAACCTTTAAAAAACTACAAGTGACCAATTTTATTTTATGTTTCACTTCACACTTGTTCATCTCAAAGTTTTCCAGGTAAAGTCTGTCTGATAATTTTAGATAATTCCTCTGGATCCTTTCCCTGAGAATAAGCTCTTTGGAGTAATGTCAGGATATGTTGAAAACAAAGCTTCTTTTCCCCAATATTTCATAGATATGATACATATTTTATTCTGATATCTCAATATAGTATTATTAACTTAAATAATTATTCTTTTGGATCTCTGGTGGCATAGTGCCTTCTTTTTTACTGTGGCTAGTATTTCTCATTAGGTTTATATAGAACAAGGGTAATAGTTTTAACAATGGTTTGGTCGCTGCTTAATGTTTAACTTGAGTCAGATATAGATAAATACATATTTACGAAAGCACAAAAATGTATAATCGTAGAACCACTTCAAATCATTTTACAAAATAACTTATGGTCAAAATATTAAACAAATAATTTAAAGATACTCTGCAAATGGGAGAAGAAGCTCCCGCATGAGAATTTAGCTATTCTTTTTGGAACTCTGGGTGCTGTTTTTAACTATTGCACTGTAACAGGAGAAGACAGCGCCTGTTGGCTGAACTTAGCACCTACAAACCCACAACATGTTTGACTCCAGAAATTCGTATTCTCTTGCTGGGTCCCATTGGGTCTGGAAAGTCTACTTTCATCAATTCAGTAAAGTCTGTTTTCCAAGGACGTATAATTCGTCAAGCCATAGCAGGGTCTGATATCACCAGCATTACTGAACAGGTAAGGTTTATTTCAGGGTTTTTCGTGGTAATTTTGTTTTATAGATGACAAATATTAGGCGTGTTCACTTATTTGCTATTTTCTCTCAAGACATAAAGCTCCTCCTTTTATAAAAATAATTACATGATAACTCAAATATAAAACAGAAGTAACATTTGACTCAAAATTGTACCTATTGAGTTATATTATACAGCTAGACTTTCCATTTTTATGGATGTAAAAGTGTTTTCTTTAAAAAAAACCACCTTTTGGTATTTGTTGTAAAAAAGAACAACAATGCTAAAAAATACTTTGTGAAATCTTTGTCCCTTATAATTTATGTCCATTTCTATTCATGTCCCACATGATTATATTCATATTGAAATATCTTTCTCCTTTTAAAATAAAATAATAACATTTCACTATTAGAAGTGTATTATTCACTTTGGTGGATCAACCTTCAAAGGGTAATCTATTTATGCACAAGCACTCTTTTATTTGCAATCTAATATATTTAAGGAAATAAATACTAATACTTATTTATCATTGCTCTAAACTTCTACAAATTAGATTGTACCATTTTTCTATGTATTTCTTTCTGTCCTAACCATATAATCAAATAAAAAATATTTTAAAAAAATTATTTAAAACCACATTAACCATTTCCACCATCCAGGGACTCCAAACTGAAGGAATATAGGGAAAAACTGTCATGAGAAAACTCAATTTCTGATTGTTCAGAGACTTTTATCTTTGAAAAACTTAAGTTACAAAGGAAACAAATTAATAGTTAATGAAACTATGAATGTGTGTATTGCTATTCTTAAAATTTTGCAAGGTACCTTAAGTATGTAACTCTAACGTTTTGTGCATTTTTTTTAATGTTGAGGCACTATAAAACTCATTTTTTTCTAGCAAAATCTCCAATGAGTTACTTACTGACGTTTTATGGATCAATGGGAACTTTTGACTCTATTACAGATTTTAATAGGCTATTAAAAAAAACAAACAAACTCACTGCCGTCGGATTGATTGTAACTCATAGCAACCCCTCCTTGGGTTTCCAAGGCAGTATCTCTACTGAAGTAGTTTGCCTGATCTTCCTTCTGAGGAGCAGCTGGTGAGTTTGAACTATCAGTCTTCTAGTTAGCAGTCAAATGCCTTAGACACTATGCTATCAGAGCTCCCACTATAGGTTGTAGAGGGTTTCAAAGGAGCATTCATGTTGTAGTGCCTGAGGCATTTGTCTGCTAAGAAGAAGGTTGGTGGTTCAAACCCACCAGATATTCTGGGGAGAAGATGGAGCAATCTACTTCGATAAAGATTTACTGCCTCAGAAATCCAATGGGAGTCACTATGAGTCTTAATAGACTGATGGCAGTGAGTTTTTTTCGTTTTCCCTCCTTTTTTTTGAGTTTATAGAGGGTTTCTAGGAGTCCTGGGTGGTGGAAACAGTTAGGAGCTCAGATATTAAAGGCTGTTCAAAATCACTCTGAGGTGCCTTGGAAGAAAGGCTTGGCAATCTAATTAAAAAAGATCACAGCCATCGAAATCCTATGTAACACAGTTCTGCCCCAAAACACGTAGGTCACTGTAAGTCAGAATGGGCTCAATGGCAACCATTTTTGTTTTTTGTATAGTGGTTTCTACATTTCCTGGATTGGTATTGTGATATTCTTTGCCACCTGGAATGGGAGTACTATGATTAAAACATTGCCTGATATCTATGAGAAACTATTTTCTTTGTGATTGTTCAAAAATCTTCCCTATTTATACCCGTTAAGTGTATTTGACAAACAAATAATATTTTTCAGAGTTTTCTCCTGAACATAATCTTGGGGTTGTATTTTGTATGTTTATTTAAGAGAAAAGTTTTGGTTAAAATTGTGCTTTCAAAATGAGGTCCGTGGCCCTCTAGGGATCCCTGACACATTATCAGGGAGCCTGTGAGGTTTTTTTTTTTCCCCATGGTAATACAAAATATTTTTTGCCTTTTCTAGTGTACTGGAGCTCTGGTAGCATAGTGCCTAAGGCACTTGACTGCTAACCAGAAGGCTGGAGGTTCAAACCCACCAGTCACTCCTCAGAAGGAAGATGGGGCAATCTACTTTCATAGTGATACTGCCTTGGAAACCCAAGGAGAGGTCGCTATGATTCGGGTCCAACTCGACGGCACGTAATAACAACAACAACAACAACAACAACAACAACAACAACAACAGTGTACTGACATTTGAACTGATGATACAAACATAGTTTTTCTGTTGGCACCTTAATATGAATCAAAGTGGTGGTGTTAGTTACCATTGAATCAGCTCTGTCTCATGGTGATCCCATGTACAACAGAATAACCCATTGCCTGGTCCTGTACCATATTCAGTCTTTGGCATGCCCAATCTATTGTTGGAGCCACTGTGTACTTTGAATGCCTTCCAACCTAAGGCCTTCTAACACTATGTTGGACCATCTTCTGCTGTGATCCATAGGGTTTTCATTACTAATTTTTGGAAGTAGATTACCAAGTTTTTCTTCCCAGTCTGTCTTAGTCTGGATGCTCCATTGAATCCTATCTACCAAAGGTGACCTTGCTGGTATTTGAAACACTGGTGGCATAGTGTTTTGGTTATCTGGTGCTGCTCTAACAGAAAATACTACAAGTGGATAGCTTTAATAAACAAGGATTTATTCTCTTGAAGTTTAAGAGGCTAGAAGTCTGAGTTCAAAGTGCCAGCTGTGGGGGCTGAGTGAAGGCCCCTTAAACTTGGGCTTCAGCTCTGTCTCTTGCTCCTGGCCCACTGGAACTGGAGGTGTCTCTTCACTCAGGCAGCTGCTGGCTGTAGAGGGTAACAAACCCAAAGTTAACAAGTAAAAATCCACAGTACCAAAATTATCAAGCAACACAGAAGGCCACTAGTTCAAGTCCAGAAACAGTCTCAAGATCAGCAGATGACATGGCAGGCCACTGAGATGAAGACTTGGCCAAATGCAGGATCCAGATATGCCCAAATGCTCAAGACCTTTCTCAAAATGTCTTCTTATATACAGGAAGCAGACCACATCCTCAAGGCAGCTACTCAGTTGCTCACAGTAGATTTTACCATGGAGTTGATTACCAGTCTTATCATTGAGAATAACTGCATCCAGCTGCCTAGCAACTCAAAACCAGGCCCAGCCCTGTTGACACATAACCTTAATTCCATGTATAGCTTCCAGTATCATAGCAACATGAAAACCATCATAGTATGTATAACAAACCGACAGATGTGTAGTAGATGAATCAGGTAGTGGCAGCAACCTCTACTCATAGCCACTGTATTCTTTACCACTCCACAGTTGAAGTAAAAACAAAAAAATGTACAAAATGACAGTTTAGTTAAAAATGTCCTTGATGAAGTAGTAACAATTATTGGTTTTATTTAAACTCAGCTCTTGATAAATAACATTTTAATATTCTGTGTGATTAAATTGGTAGTACACATAAAATGCTTCTGCTGCATACCAAAATATGATGGTTGTTTGTGAGAAAAAACTGGTGCAATTCAGTTGTGAGTGGAACTTTTTCATGTAACATCACTTTCACTTGAGAGGATCACTGAGACTTTTTATTCAGAGTTGAATATTTGGCAGATGTTTTTGAAAAAATGCACAAAGCTAGCTTATTGTTTCAAGGCAAATAAATGATGTTTGCTTCAAATGATAAAACTGGAGCTTTGGGGCAAAAACTAGGACACTGGAAAACTTATATCTACCACTCTGAGTTGGCAGTTTCCTAGCAAAGACAGTTGATGGGATTGGTGGTATTAATGAATATGATATTTTACTATTGTATGATTAATTAAATCAATATTTGGAAAATATGCATAACTCAGTGGACCAATATTTTTCAAATGACCATTGCAAGAGATTATAAGATCATCATGGGTAAAACATACATTCAAAATGTAAGACACACCAATGGGTTTAAAGTAACGGAGAATGAATATTTCAGTGATAATTGACCTTTAAGAAGTTATTGTTTCTTAAGCTTTGATGTGGTATTAGTGAGGCATATTAAATAATTTATTAAATAAATACTCCCTCCTTTTCCCACTACTTATGTGTGTGAGACAATATTTCCCTCATATACTTCGATCAAAACAACATATCACAATAGACGGACTGTAGAGGCAGATATGAGAATCCTGCTTTTCTTTCAAGACAGAATTGAAGAAAAAAAAAGGCCACTATTTTCTATAATTTATTTAGAAAAATAGTTTTATTTTTTGTAAACTTATTTCAGTTAACATTAATCAAATAGTTATTTTATTTTTTAATGACTTAAACATTTAAAATTTGTTTCAGTTTTAATTTCTGACATGATAAATATCAATAGATCTAATTCATATGTCTTTGGGATCTTCAATAATTTTTGAATGTGTAAGGAAGGGTCTTGGGACCAAAATTTTTGAGGACTACTGTGTTAAAATGTTAACCAATCTCTGTTCTTCCTATGGTCATGTTTTCAATGCTTATACTTGCTATGATTTGTTTTACAGTATAGGATATATTCCATTAAATATGGAGAAGATGGCATATCTCTGCCATTCATGCTGTGTGACTCAATGGGCCTGGATGAGAGAGAGGGAGAAGGATTATGCATGGATGACATATTCTACATTTTAGAAGGCTGCATACCAGACAGATACCAGGTGAGATTTTTCAATCTCCAAAATACATCAAATCATTTTCATCAATGTTTTTCATTGAACTTTTGATGCATATGGTAGTTTTAACCACTATAAGGCAGTTCCAGTATCCACTGACACTGCTTTATGTTAAATGAATAAGTATTCATGTAAATGGAGTCAATGTTTTTATTTCCGTAACATTGAGAAATACAGACAAGGGATGGGATTCTGCTCATCCGTGTTCCAGGAAATCGCAAAGGGAGATTGTGTTGAGACAAATCTTTAAAACATATAAACAAATAGGGAGGTAGTTTTATTTCTTGCATTTTTGTAATTACACAGAAAAAATATTGGAATAATTAACCACTTTGTTTTGAAATATAATACTATACTTTAATTATTCAGGCTTCATGACTTAAATACCTAGATCCAATGGTTGGCTCTGCACTAATTAATTGTGTACTCTTAAGCAAATTACTTGTCCCTCTAAATCTTAATTTTTTTTTTTTTTATGTGTAAAATGTAATAGTACCAATCTCATAGGGGGATGAGTAGACTAAATGAGATGATACACTCTAAGGGCTCAAAAAAATTAACTATCACTACCATGTCTCTTTTAGATATTGGGTGTAACATAAACAGCCTCAATTTCTAAATAATGACTTCCTGTGTAAGTCGAAATTGACTCTACCACAGTTGGTTGGTTGGTTGTCTTTCAATTGTGCTTCACTGGAAATTTTATGTTAACTCTGTACTCATTTATATTCATTAAATATATATCTATATATCTATATCTATATCTATATCTATATCTATATCTATATCTATATCTATATATGAGCTCTGGTAGCATAGTGCCTAAGGCACTTGACTGCTAACCAGAAGGCTGACGGTTCAAACCCACCAGCCGCTCCTCGGAAAGAAGGTTAGGCAATCCTACCTCTGTAGTGATACTGCCTCGGAAACCCAAGGAGGGGTCGTTATGAGTCGGGTCGTTATGAGTCTACAGCACATAACAACAACAACAACAACAAGGACCTCATAATCTAGTAAGGAACAAAGATACAAGGAGAAGGAATAGAACAGAGAAATGGGAGAATTCAAGCACATATGAACACTCTTATTTTCCATAACAGGAAGTTAATCAATTCAGTCCAACATTAAATTACATAGTTAAAAAATAATAAATCTAATTTTTTACTGTGTTTTTAATCTTTTTTCTCCCCAATCCTAGAAAGATTATTATCTTGTGGTAAGGACACATTACCTTGAGATTTGAGATTTCTTCTGTTTCACATCAGTATATTTTTGTTCTATAAATTTAAAAGAAATATATAGCATTTTTGTTTCAATAACATTTTCAATGTCTGTTCTCTCTCGTTTTTCCTCTCTACTCTTTCATTCATTTAAGCATACATAATGCTTAGAAAAGAGTCTTAAATGTTGTATAATCAAAGTTAGTGATAGTTATTTCTGGAGACTGAGATTTGTAGTTATTTATTATTAATATTTTTTAACCTTCATTGCATTTTACTGTATTAATTATGGTGAATAATTCTTTTACTAAAGCAATGAAGTTGTTTTTAAGAAAGCTATAATAGCATTAAGCTCACAGTGGAAAGTAAGTCCAGAGGGGAACTACTAATCCTGGGGAAGAAGTATCTGGGAGCAGTGAGAGAAACATCTGGGTTGACAGTTTGGAATGGTGGCGTTTGAAGCACTAATTTGGTCTTAATGAATTGAACAGACTCTCTGACTGTTGCCTCCTGCTTCTATAACAGTTTAATCCCCGAAAGCCAATTACGTCTAGTCATTCTGGCTTCATCACTTCTCCATCACTGAAGGAGAGGATTCACTGTGTGGCTTATGTGTTAGATGCCAACTCTATCAACAATCTCTCCTCTCAAATGGTGAAAAAGTTCAAAAGAGTCCAAGAAAAAGTATTACAATGTGGTGAGTCTCATTATACTTTTTTTAAAAAATTTGAAATAATAATTGATTCACAGGAGGTTGCAAAGAGAGCTCAGACAGGGCTCTGACATGTATCCTCCACCCAATTTCCAGAGCCCTGGATTGGTGGCACTAGTGATAAAGATCACTCACAAGTTTGTCTGAAGGAAAGGCCATAAAACTTAGTCTTTAAGTCTTTGAAGACTTGAGGGCCACAGGTTTTGACAGGTGAGATATTCCTATGATTGGATAGTGGGGCCACTTTCAAAAGCAGTAAGCATTCCTTACACTATGTGCCTAATTAGAAAGATCAAAACAAGGAAATTGACTTTGGTAAAAGGCATGTTTATAGTTCTATGATATTTTAACACAATTTGCATATTTGTGTAACCACCATTGTAATCAAGATACAGAACTATTCTGCTAATGCAAACATCTCCCTTATACCACCCCCTCATAGCCACACTCATTTCCCTTTCCCCTCCTCCACTATCCTTAATCCCTGGCAACAACTCAATCTCCATAATGTGGTCATTTTGAGAATATTATATAAATGGAATCATACAGTATGTCATCTGTTGCAATTTTTTTTAACTCAGCCTAATGTTCTTTGAAGTCTATCCAAATTGTTGTATGTAATGATTGTTTACTCTTTACAGAGAGTTTTAGGATTACAAAGAAGTTCCATTCCTAAATCTATCTTTAAATTGAATTTATACAAAAGTCAGACAGTTAGGTAGGGTTCATATCTAACGTCAGCTAGTCAAATATTTGTCTTAGTATATAGTGTATTTTTTTATGCATAAATACATGAAAGAAATACTTCCAGATACACTAAATAGTATTTGACATGTTGCTGTTGTTGTTGTTGTTATGTGCCTTCGAGTCAGCTGGGATTCATAGTGACCCTATGTACAACAGAATGCAACATTGCCCAGTCCTGTGCCAGTCTTATAATCCTTGCTATACCTGAGCCCATCATTGCAGCCACTGTGTCAGTCTATCTCGTTGAGGGCCATCCCCTTTTTTGCTGACCCTGCACTTTACCAAGCATGAAATTCTTCTCCAGGGAGTTGTCCCTTCTGACAACATAATGATACAGCAATAATAACAATAATAATGTTTTGATCCACATCCCAAAATAGCACCCATTTCTTATAGCGGATCATTGAATATTCCTCAACTTTTTAATATAAAATTTAAAATAGAATTTGCAGGGAAGGTTAATTGGTAACTACAGGTTGTATGTAAATTGAATGTTTATAACCTGGGAACTGTCTGCATTGTTGAATAGGATTTCATGGTATAGGTATACCACAGTTTGTTTAAATATTCTCTGTTGAAAGATATTTTGCTTGCTTCTGCTTTTGGACTATTACAAAGAAAGCTGCTGTGAACATTCATCTATAGGTTTTGTATGGATATAAATTTTTATTTGCTGGTGATAAGTTTCTAGGAGTAAGATTACTGCATTGTGTGATTTTTATTTTATTTAAGAGATCACCAAATTGGTGTTGTGGATCCAAGTAAAATGAAACCCTTTACTGCTTCAGACTTCTCTCCATTTATCATGATGTTGCTTATATGTCCAGTTGTGAGGAGTTTTGTTTTCTTATGTTAAGGTATTGTAGTCTTTGAACTTCAGTAACTGCTTCAAAGTCCTCTTCATTTTCAGCAACGAAAGTCATCTGTATATGACAAGTTGTTTATAAGTCTTCCTCCACTCTTGATGCCACATTTTTCTTCATGTAGTCCATCTTCTCATATTATTTGCTCAGTATACAGATTGAATAAGTATAGTAAAAGATTCAGTCCTGATACACACCTTCCCTAATTTTAAAGCACTCAGTATTCCCTTTTTCGTCTTGAACATTGCCATTTGGTCTACAACCAAGTTGCTAGTGACCATAATTAAGTGTTTTGTAATCCTCATTTTTTTCAATGTTATTTATCATTTGTTATCATGAACACAGTCAAATGCCTTTGCATAGTCATTAAAACACAGGTAAGCATATTTCTTGTATTCTCTGCTTTCAGCCAAGCTCCATTTGAAGCCAGCAATCATACCCCTCATTCCATATCCTTTTCTGAATGTAGCTTGAATTTCTGACAGTTCCCTATTTATTGCTGCAATCATTTTTGAATTATCTTCAGCAAAATTTTATTTGCATGTGATATTAGTGGTATTGTTTGATAATTTCCACATTCTGTTATATCATCATTCTTTTGAATGAGCATAATATGGGTTTGTTCTAATCATTTGGCTAAGTAGCTGTCTTCCAAATATCTTGGTATAGACAAGTGAGCATTTCCAGAATTACAACCATTTGTTGAAATATCTCAAGTGGTATTCCATCAATTCACTGTTTTGCAAATGTTTTCAGTGCATCTCAGACTTCTTCCTTCAATACCATTGATTCTTGATCATATGCTACTCCTGAAATGGTTGAAGATCAACCACTTCTTTTTGGTTCAGTGACTCTATGTATTCCTTCCTTTATTTTTATGCTGTCTCATTCAAATTTTCTTCTTTAGTCTAGTAATGTATTGGGTTACATACATTTGATATCTGAATCGTCAGCCAGCCTTGCATCTCTGGAATAAAATCCACTTGTTCATGATGCATAATTAGTTTTACATATTGCTGAGTCCTACTTTACTAACAATTTTTGCATCTACATTCATGAGGAATGTATCTGTAATTTTCCTTATTCCTACTGTCTTTGTCGTTTTTATATCAGAGTAATATTTGTCTCATAGTATGAGTTGGGATATATTCCTTCCTCTTCTATTTTCTGAAAAAGAATTTATGTTAGTCATTCTTTAAATATTTGGTAGAATTGCAAATGGAGCAATCTGATTCTAGAGACTGCATTTTCAAGAGTATTTGAATCGCTAATTCAATTACAATTAAAACCAACAAACCAAACCTACTGCCGATTCTGGCCATAGCGACCAGCCGATTCTGGCTCATAGTGACCCCCACTGGGTTTCCAAGGAGGAAAATCTTTCGGAAGTAGATTGCACAGTCTTCCTTTCAAGGAGTGGCTGGTGGGTTTGGACTGTCAAACTTCTGGTTAGCAGTCAAATGCCTTAGGCACTACACCACCAGAGCTCCTTTTAACAACAAAAGAACGATTCAAATTATCTACTTCATATTAAGTCAGTTGTAGTAGTTTTAGTTTTACTCCATTTCTTCTAAGTTGTCACATTTTTGTGTGTAAAGTGTTTGAAGAATTTCCTTATCATTCTTTTGATGTTTATAGGGTCTGTAGGGATATCACCTGTGATCTTTCTGATATTTTTTTTT